TTGGGACCTACCACAACAGGGTGTGAACGGGAAATTCTGCCTCTGGACACCGGCGGAAACACCTAATGTTACAAAATGTGCCTTAAACTTTTAACACATAAAACGAACAGAGAGGGCCTTGGTTTCTAAGGCCTCATCCTTGACTTTTTAACAGTCTCCTGTAAGAGTCTCCCACACACTGACCTTAAGTTGTCGAGGAAGGATGAAAGGCTGAGGTAATGCTGCTAGCATTGCAACCTGCTATGCCATGAAGTTTACCTAACACAGACTGGTTGCTTAGACCGTCCCCAGCACTCTCTCTGGCTACAGAACTGCGCCCAGAGGGAACAAAGCATGAGGATCTGAAACAGAGCAGCTAGGCGGTGAAGTTAATCCATTTGTTTCAACTTGCAAACAGATCTATCAGCAGCTTTTCAGCTATTTTCACTTTGCAACGCACGAATCCGTCATAGCTGAAACATCTGCTGCCAAGCCAACTGCTCCCCACAAATCACAATGCTGGGTCTTACCAACCCACTTATTATGTTTAAAAACATGGAAAGCAGTCCCCTGACTGTAAGTGGAAGCTCTCACCACAGCCTGGCTTTGTGGCATAGAGCACTAAGCATTGCCTTTCGCTGGTTCCAAAATGCAATTGATTATATTAATTTTCCATACAGCTCGCTAGTTGCCCCTCTGTTGGGAGTAGGTTAAGGCTGGTTTTGCTCTCACGCTTAGCACAGTTTAAATCTTCCTGCCTTATTGATTTTGGTAGCTGTCTGAGCTTCGATTAAATCGAGTTCACCTGTGCATTATCTAATCTGCTCTGGGCTAGGGCTTGGTTCAGTATTCTTTGATCCCAGGGAACTTACTTGGGGTTATATCCTTCTGAGCCAGTTGGAAATTTACTTTGAACTTGGCCTTTTGCTGAGATTTACCTTCTGAGTCTGCTTTAAGCTGGCTCCGATGCTATGACCAGAAGCAAGACAGCCATGTATCTTATGAACCTAACCATTGAGCCATCCACAACTCAAAAGGGGAGATTCTACAGTCAGACATTTGGCTGTTGCTTTTATCCTCACGTTGACCTAGACAGGATCTGTTTTAGAAGCTGATATGATGCCTGATCAGTCACTATTAAAGGCCATTTTGATGCAATCAGGAATTTGGGGAAGGGGGTGAGTGGGAGCCTTCTTGCTGTTGTGCATAGAGCTATGTAACTGGGATGCTTTTTTGTATGCTGCACCTTTAAAGAGCCAATGGCTCTGCTGTCAGCAGGGAGCAATTCTGTGTTCATTTCAGCACACACTGCTAGCTGAGACATACCCAGGAGTGGTCTGTGCTTAAACACTTTATCAGCAGACGATGTTGGTTAGGAGTGTGGTTTTTTCAATCATGTGACTATTGTGGAAAAAGCCCTACTATAGATGCTGTTGTGATGGTCTAAATGTGACATAATAGTATAGCTTATTATAGGCCCCAAACTAAAATAAACTGTACTAGTTCACACACTCTTGTATATGGATATAGCTGTGTCTACACTAGAAGGGTTTTGCTGCTTTAACTGTACTGTCATAATTAAAGCAGCAAAACATTTTAAGTATACACAAGTCTCCACACACTGTGCTTTCTGTCATGGAGCCGTTCTTTTTATGAAAAAAGAAAAGGAGTACTTGTGGCACCTTAGAGACTAACCAATTTATTTGAGCATGAGCTTTCGTGAGCTACAGCTCGGGCTCGTGTACTCAGGAAAATTAACCTGAATTAACTTTTAAAGTGGATTAGCTAAACCACGTTAAACCCTTATGTGAACACAATGATTCAGAATTAAAATGGTCTTCCTTTGGTTTTAATTTCCAAACTTTGCTAAGTGTCCCTGTATAGACAAGCCCTGAAATCAGCATCCTTCTGACTAGAAGTGTGAGTTGGCTTGTGTTGTTCCTGCAGAGCTGGAAAATAATACTATTTCCAATCATGTACCGGGACAGTCAGTTGTGCTGGAGGAGTTGAAACCTTTTGACAGGAGTTTCAATTAAAGATAACACTATACTTGTCAGGAAGGTTATCCCAAAAGCTTGAGGTCTTGGGGATGCCATAAAAATTGACAATTTCTCCACTTCTCCTGAATAAAAAGTTCCTTTCCTTCAGGGATGCTGGAACAATTTGTATAGTAGGGATGCTGAGAGCCATTGAACCAAACTATAAACCCTGGATATGATGGAAACCACTTCAAGCCAGGGGGTGCAACAGCACCCCCAGTTCCAGCATCTATACTCTCCTTTTAATTAAAGCATTTTGTAGTAATCTTAAATACAGACCAGCTCAAGTTGCTTATTTCAAGGTCTTTAACAAGGTCTTTAATTCTGTTCCCACCAAATCAACTCCAAAACTCTGATTGTAGTGTGACAGGAGCAGAGTCAGGCTCATGCTCATCAAAAGCAAACCACTCCTAAAATGGGAAGAGGATCAGGCCCATAATAAGCGAATTCCTTCTATGCTAATTCACTAGAACACGTGCACACTACGTTCTGGAAGGAGAAAAGTGACGGTATATTGGGATAATCAAAAGAGTCCCTCCTTGCCCAGAAATTGCTCATGCAACTCAAGGCCAATGCAGACAATTTCTCTCTGCAATTTGATTTCTTTGGAAATGGCAGCAGACTTTGCAATTTTCTTTCCAGCCAAGCTACACAAGGTCTGGAAGGATCAGAAATGTATACAGGACTTTCATGAGGCTTAAAACATTCTCTCATCTTTCATATCCAAGAAACAGACCTACTGACAGTGCTGGTATTAAGTCTAGACTCTAACGTCTTAAAACATTCAGCTTTTTCATCAGTGCCTGGGCCACTGTTGCAAAGGAATAAAGCTCTGAATCTTATAAAATACCAGCCTCTTAAAACATAAATATGGGGATCAGTTACAGAAGAATGGCAGAGGATTGAAAGGGAAGGTTATATATATGTATTCTAGGGCCAACAGTGGTCATTTGGGGGAAAAAAAAAAAAAGCTTTTTAAGGAGAATGGGGAGATAGAAAATGAGATGGGTTTCAATGGCATTGGAAAACCCACTGTTATCCATGAACCCCCAAATGCCAACTGGGAAGGGGGTTGCAAGAATATCCTGATTCTGGAATATACATTCTGGTTCACCAAAGAGCAACAGGTGAAGTCTTAAATGAAAGCCAGGGTCACACTGATTGTTCATATCATTGTGAAATGTACATATAGATACCAGGTCAGGAGTTACATACGTCTACTGAAAATGTGCTTTAAAGTCCGTATCAAGGCAGACTTGACAAACAGGATTTTTTCTGCCAGATAAAAGAGGTTCTTTGACCTGTCTCTCTGTCAGCAGGTAAAGTAAGCATTGTAAGCCAACACGACGGCAAGTTATTGACATGTGAAGTCAACGGGGAGGCAGGACACTGGAGAATGAGCCTCAAGGAGGTTAGACTGGTGAGTTTAGGCTCTAGAAAGCGTGTTACAGTTTTGTTTTATATGTAACTGTTTCCTTCCATTATCTATACACACTCTCTCAAATAGTTGATATTAAACTTGTTGTTTTTACTATAAATATATCTGAGTGCTGTGATGTTAAGTCAGGGGCTGTTCCTGAGCTGAATCACACAAATCGGGGTGCACACTGTTCCCTTGGTGGAGACAAGCAGAAGTGGTGTTTCTGTGGGTAACAGATGGGACATACAGTTCCAAAGGGGCTCGGGGACTGAGGTGCTCTGATGACTAGCCTGCATGGCACAGTAAGGACTGGCCTAGCCCAGAGGTGAATGTGCGGGTAGCTGACAGGCTGGTGGCCTCAGGGAGCTGACACCCAGTTAAGCACAAGAAAGTTTTTCTCATGCTGGTGATGGGGGCGGGGGAGGTTACAAGGTGACTCTCAAACCTGGATACCCTGAAAACTGTCACACCCACCACTTGCTTCCATGTTTCCCCCCCAGCTCAGGGCTAGATTCTGCTCTGTGCCACATAAGAGGTGCCCCACAGATAATAAAGCCCAGGTATAGGTCTTCACACCATCTTTGCACCCTCCAGATTCTGGGACGCTGTGGGGACTGCAGTGGCACCCAGCATAAGTTAGAAGAGCCCCGAGGACTGCTCAAACATACAGCAGCTTCCTCAGGGCTGTCTACGGGCCATGCAGCAGGAAGCCCAGAATTCCCAGACTGCTGAATGCCACAAATACGCTCTCCCTCCCATCCCCGAGGCTGGGACTCTCCTACAGCTCTACACTGCTGGGGCAGCATGAGGGCCAGAATCCTCCCCTCTATATGCTGCTGTGGAAAACCTCCCAAGTGGGCCCAAATACCTATAGATGGCCTCATTTGTTCTGACCGGCTTTGGGACCTTTATTCTCTTCCTGAGATGATCCATTCTCACTCCTTGTTTTCTCTCCACAACACTCCTGTGACGTAGACTCTAGCCTCCTTTTACAGATGGAGACACTGAAAGACATGGAGGTAAAGGGACTTGCTCACAGCCCCTTAATGAGAAACCGGCAGAGGAGGGATTGCACATCCAAATACTTTATTCATTGATTGGTGGGTATGGATCCCAAATGCTTTACCCATTCATCTAGGCCAGCGGTTCTCAACCAGGGGTCCGAGCCCACCCTGGGGGGGCCATGAGCAGGTTTCAGGAGGGCCGCCAAGCAGGGCCAGCATTAGACTCACTGGGGCCCAAGGTAGAAAGCCAAAGCCCCACCACATGGGGTTGAAGCCTGTGCCCTGAGCCCCACCACCCGGGGCTAAAGCCAAAGCCTGAGCAATATAGTTTCAGAGGCGCTCCATGGGATGAGGCCCCAGGCAATTGCCCTGCTTGCTAATGCCGGCCCTGGCTTTTATATGCAGAAAACCAGTTGTTGTGGCACAGGTGTGCCAGGGAGTTTTTAATCGCACGTTGAGGGGGCCTCAGAAAGGAAAAGGTTGAGAACCCCGGATCTAGGCCACGCTGACTCATCTGGCAGCCAGCATTTTACCTTCAAAAGAAGAAACTGCATTAGAGAGAGAGATACTCGGTTCCTTGTATAGTTAAAGTGTCTTTATTTTATAAAATGTCATAGAAAGCTTCAACACCATCCACCGGTGGAACATCAGTAATTATTACACAGTAATTCAAACACAAGTTAGTATTTCACACTAGTCCCACACATCTGTTCCAGACACCATGGGTTAGCCCTTCTACTCAGTGTAATTTAGGACATTCCCTCACACCCTGTGCTTCACTCAGATGGCAAGGTATCTTCCCTCTCCCTGGGCTCATGCTTCTGTACTTGTGCCCACTGCAGCCACTACACGGCCTTTGCTAGAAGCATCCTTGCCCTCTCTTTTCTGCAAAGCCATTGCCAATTACTCCTTCTGGCACCCTTGTATAACATGCTAAACAGTCATGATATTGATCAGAGGCTCTGCAACAAGGTCCCCTTTCTACTCTCGGAAGCACAAATAAAGGAACTCCTTGGCCATTACAGCTCATATTTATCTAAGCGCACAATGGCTTGTGCAAAGTGCATATCTAATTTGCATGTGCTGTTACTTCCACTGCACTCACCCACCATGGCTACTCGACCATTTGTGCATCAGCTGTGAGTGCAACTGCACACCAAACTTCTCTGAAGATCTAGGTCTCAATCCAGACCATTAGGTCTGCATGTGGAACCATTCCTGGCCGGTAGTTAGAAACTGTACTGAGAACATACCAGGCTCAGCTGTCTTCTTAGCATACTTGAGACTCCAACCTGCAAGCCTTCCCTGCACAAAGCCTTTATTGACTGATGAGAGTTCCACACCAAAAAGATTTTCAGGTTCAGGCCCACTGCAGGAAGTGGTTGAGACTCCAGAGGTACTCCTGTAGTCCCCACGTGGGCAAACAACCCCACCACCCTCGCTTTAATCAAACAGGAACTTTACCTGAGAAAAGTTTGCAGGACTGGCCCCTAAATATATTTCCAGTTCACAGTATCAATCGGTATCTCTCAGAAACCTGCCTGTGATCACTGTTGAAAAGCATCGCATCCCTCTGGGGTTTTGTGATTTGAGTAAGCCAGGGACTGAGAAGTGCCATATTTGAGTTAGAAAGTTTAGTCCCAGTTATAGTTCACAGTTTATACCATGGGGGAAAGTTCTCAAATCACAGCAGTGACACTCTACATTTATACAGCACTGCTCACCAGAGACCTGAAAATACCCACCATAGGTAAGTAAAGTGCTTTCCTATTGATAAACCTCAAGACACCCCTGTGAGGTAGGTCAATATTATACCCATTTCATAGATGGGTACACTGAAGCAAAGAGGTCACATGACAAACATGTCAGCAGCAGGGCCAGGAATAGAACCCAGAAGTCCTGATTACCACTTACCTCTGCTAACCTCCTTTCTCCCTTCAAGAGTGAACATTTGTATCACTGCACCAAGCAAAATAGGTGGAGTTTCCCTTTGAGGACTGGCCTGCCCTTCTGTCAGTTATTTTCACCTGAAGCTGGCATGTGGCAATTTGCAGGTCAGTTCTTTGGTTGCAACAGGCGACGTCTACAGCAGAACTGAAATATGAACTGTAGATTAGTTTGTGGCGGAATCCACACGTAAAAGGGCCAGGATCAAAACCAAATTGTGCTTAAGAGACTGCAGCGAGATAAACACAACAGCATCCGAAAGAACACAGTTTCCCCAACACAGCGGAATCTGTACATGGGGCCAGTGTCAGTAACACAGCTTTCCTATGTCCAGGTCAGCTGGCTTTCGCAAAGGCAACACTGGGCCAGATTCTGGTTTCAGATACACTGGTTTAAATCCACAGTGGGAATGCATTGGCTTTACACTAGGTTAACCAAGGTCAGGATCTGGTTGTTACTCTGCGAGCTGCCAGTCCCATCCTACTTAAAGGATTTAGTTTTTACATACATTTACTGCTGGTGAGAGATGTTGGTTTGACAAGCCTGAAGTATGTCATTTATCCACAGGTCAGAGCACAGGAAGCAGCAAAGCAAGCTTCCTCTGTGCTATTCCCTGTCCCTGGACAGATGGGAAGCATTGCAAATGGGAATTGCAGTCTCCATGGGCAGAGCAGCCCACCTCCGGAGACCGTCAGCAAGGGGGCCAGTTATAGCCACTTGCTGATGTGGCTTTTTGTGATGGGAGTGGTTAGACACCTGACTACTAGAAAGGGAACCCAGAACGACATTGTGGGTCTAGTTTTTAATGATCAGTGTGGGAAGGAGTGAGCTAGGGGGAAAAGCCATTGTAAGCTCTTCACGTCAGAGACTGCCTCATTGTGTGTGTTTGTACAGCACCTACCACGCTGAGGCCTCAATTCTGATTGGGCGCTACTGTAACAGAAATAAAACAAACAATAAATAAAGAATTACAAGCGACCAGAAGAAAAATAATACTGACTCAACTGCTATCTAACCTGCACTTGCATTCTGGCTCTACCACCAACCTTCTCTCTTCCAAAGGAAATGCCCAGAGAATAATAAATATCTACCACATTTGCATGTACAGTCCCCCTTTTATTCAAGGATCTGAAAGCGCTTCACAGAGGTGGGTCAGCCTCATTATCCCCACTTTACAGATGGGGAAATTGAGGCACAAAGAGAGCTAAGCAGCTCACCTTGCGAGTTGGTGACAGAGCCAGGAATCCTGACTCCCAGTTTCCCCACACCAACCACTATACCACACCTCTTCTGAACAGGAAATCAGAGCCACACTAGGTGCCTGCACTGTGCAGTACATTGAACACAGAGACCTAGTGCTAGATCTGATCTCCTTCAAGATTGTATCAGTGCTGAAGGAGTCAGCCACTAACACTGCTATTTACACCTCTGCCCTGGCAACTGCTTTAATTGTAAATTAAGCCCTTTCCCCACTCACACAGTTTGCTATATGTCTACATACACACAGCACACCTCTAATCCATTCTCATCCAGGTAACACCCCCCAAACCCAATGCATCTATGGTGTAACTCCACTGACTTCAATGGTGTTACACCAGGGATGAACTTGGCTCAGTTCTCTCTAATGTTAAATGGCTCATCTCCCAACAATGACCTTCCTGTCCAGGGGCTCGAGCCCCTTCTTGCAAGATCGTGAACTTGGTGTCCCCAGGGTTAATGACTCTTCAGATGCCCATTTGTTTCCGAGTACAGCTCCTCATTCTTCCTGCTCCTCCAGGCATGGTACTTCTTCATGCTTTTCCTCCTAGCGAAGCGGCAAATGCTAACCATGAAAACCCAGGAGACTGCGTACATAATTACCCCCCCCACCTTAATGAACCACCTGGGCTTGGGTGACACAAGCTCGCAGTACATGAGCCAGGCCCCGACCCCGATCCGCACGCCCGTGAAGAGGGCCACGAAGAAGAAATCCACCACATCCCCCGTGAAGCTGTGGTAGAGCCCCATCTCCCGCAGGAACCAGCGGGCCTGCAGCAGCGGGTTGGTGATCTCACTGCCAAAGATGACAGCGTTGACTTCGGCAGCCGACTCACCCAGGGCCAGAGACACCGCGATTCCCAAGATGCTCACCATGTGATGGGCAAGCATCAGAGCGCCCTCTGCCTGGAAGTATACACACCAGGCCAGGTCGAAGAGGAAGTAGCCCAAGCTAAGGCACAGCCCGTGCACCTGGAGGGTTGTGTTCGGTGACCCTGGAAAGGAAAGACACCAGCTGGTGCATTAAAGAGAGGAGACACCAGGCAGGCAGGATCTGCGGAAGGGGCAAGGTGTTCTCTTCCAGCAATGGCCGCTTCGCCTGGCACTGAGCAAGGGAAAGCTGAGGAAGTCACAATAATGGCCTCTATGCTTGCAAAACACCTCCTGTCCCAAAAGGAGCCCAGAGAGCATTACAGAAACACGCGCCTCCCCCCAACACACCATAAGCCACTTCTCTACCAAATGTAGCAAGGCCTCCTGTGGAGGGCAGAACGCGGATGCACGCTGGCACATAAGACTGTGGGGAGGAAAATCCTCCCTGTAAGGGACAGCGCTCCTCCATCATGGGGAGCTATGACGTTCACAGCAGACAGGACCGCAGCTTCTAAGAGAGGGGCCACCCTACCAGAATTCAAACCTGTGGCTCCAGAGGGTCACAGGCCCGATTCCTCACAGCACTAAAGCCTCTATGCCAGTTCGGTTGGCAGAAAGGGGTTGCAGGACAGAGGTAAACCCCCCCCCCCCCAAACCCTGGGAATATCTCCAGTGCAGGGGCCTCCTATGACCAGAACAGAGCTACTAGCTCCCCCTCCACAGGAGTGCCAGGTATAGGGCTGTTCTGGGGTGGACGGGCAGGGGCAGAGGGGGTGGAACGGGAGGTGGGATTCTTATGTCCCCATTATTCTGCATCCCTGCAAAAATCTCACAGGGGTCTTTTAAGAAAGAGCTCAAGTTAAGGCAGCCCTCAGAGCTGCACCAGCCCGTACTGGCCCCTGGCAGCCTCTCAACAGGGGAGGCACAAACTGTGCCCAACTCTGCCCCTGCACTGGTGCATGAAGCTGCCCCTGTGATTTGGAAACAGATGCTTATAACTCTAGGCCGTCCCCTCGGTCATGGTCATAGTGCTTATAAATACTTACCAGAGAGCTACTAGCCAGGGGCTGATAGGAGAGATGAAGGTGGAACCACAACAGCTATGGTCAGAGGCAGAAGCCTGGGGAGAGGCCCTTTCCCCTGCAAATCACTACCCGAAATCCTCTAAGTCCTGGGATTCCTACTAGGGCATATCAGCTGCTGGTTCACAGATTTGATACATTAGAAGCCCCCTTCAGGCTGCTGGAATCTAGCAGGACCTTCCCTCTCTCTTCCCATGTTGGGGAGGGGTTTAGTACTTTCTCACCATGATCAATCAGCCTATGTTTGTGTCCTCCTCCTCGTCCTTTGTGAATAGCTCTGGAGCCTCCTCTATCACCACTCAGCACTTTTCCAAGTAGCAGAGTGAAATTAACAAGAGGTTGTTAAGTTTCACTGCAGCTGCTCAGAATCTTGTGGGCAGGGGTGAGGAGTGTCAAGAATTCTGTCAATTTCACACTGCTGTTGCCTAGACAAAGCTATGAGCAGCAACAGAGGCACTTGGGCTGTCTGTCTGCACTCAGGAAGGCAGCACTGCATCGGGTCACATTTGGAATGCTGTCTTTGCAACCATAAGACTTAGAAGATTTTTTCTTTAAATGGAGGCTCATATTCTTCAGAAGTATATGAAATAATCCCCCTCCCTGTACAAACAAATCAGGCTCAGTTTCCTATTCACTAGCAGGTTTCTCATATTCCTTACATGCTTGGTGAGTGACAGCTTTAGTGCAATAATATTACTTTGCCCTCATACCCATTTCATAAGCAGTGTACACCAGTTACATGCTGAACTTGCCCCAGAGGCTTCCATGGGATTAGCACCTACTTACTTCAGTCTGCTTTTGGGGCATAAATGAGAGATCCCAGCCTTGAGGAGTTTAAAATCCCCAGCAAAATGCACAGATACAGTGCAGACAAAGAAGCAGGGAGAGTTAGCCATAGCCAATCTGATGGCAGGGCAGGGGAGAGAAGCGGGTTTGAATGAAGCCGTTCCAGAGGGAGCAGGCTGCAAAGAGACTCAGAGTGAGACCAGAAGAAGGCGACAAAGGGAGCACTAACAACACTAATTGGAATCCCCCCTTCCTGGAACCAATTACATTTTGGCTGGAGCTGGAGCCCAAGAAGGGAACAGCCAGCAAGATCCACTGAGGAAGATGGGTGCGCTCCTGCTGCTCAGAAGACACTACTCTCTGCCATGAGATCAGTCACCTGGGGCAAAACTCCCATAACACACCTGGGTGAGTCAAAGGCCAGGGGCCATCGATAAAACCAATGTAAGCAGAGAGGCAGGTGGCGAGGACACCGTGGGTCAGAGTGACCAGCCGGCAGCTCCACTCGTAGCTACGGTGCTTATACCGATGGCAGAACCAGGTGTAGAGAGACAGCCAGGAGATCAGACTGCAGGTCACCCGGAGGGGCATAGAGGCCATCATCCTAGGACAGGGCAGGGAGACAGAGAAAGATTAGTTAATCTAGTCACATGCAAAGTCAGTTGGCTTCATCACAGCATTTCCAGACTTACCACTAAATTGCTCTGACTCCTCCCCTGTATAAATTAGTATTTTCTGCTGCTGCTGCTTGTTATAACAAATTATTTTGAAGGCACCTGCTGCCATAGCACATGAGCATGCAGCAAATCCTATTACAGCTGCCACCTTCTCTCTTCCCCTGCCTCTGACAGAGCCATTTTACTTGGGTAGGGAACCATTGCAGGCAATGGGATAGAATACAATAAGTAGCAGCCTCACCAGCTCTCAAATCGCTTCCCAAAAGAGGGATCAGCATCATAATCTCCATTTTTCAGATGGGGACCCTGAGCTACAGAGAGGCGATATGAATTCCCCCTGGTCACACTGGGACTCATCCACAAGGTTTGGAATGTAAGGTCTCTTGCCTCTCAATTCTGGAACAGGCTAACCCTTACTGCCAGGGAACCCTCCATGACTCTGTTAGGAGAAAGCCTGTCTGAAAGCAGTGCATCCTGCGGAACACTCTGAAGGTGATGAGAATTAGACCCACTAGGAGTGAATTCCAGTGGCTGGCCCAGTATTGAGAAAGCAGCCCATGGGGAGTGCCAGCTGAAGCAACCTCACCAGTCTTACCTGTTGTGAGGAGGTGTGTTGTGAGAGACGGTCTTCTAGGCCACTAGGTCCTAGCCCAGTTGGGTCCTTAAAGACCAGGACTTGGAAATAGACCCATTATCAGACTGGCAGCCAGAGTAGAGGGCAGAGCACAGGTGGAATGTGTTCTCAGCCATCTACTCTACCTAAGTGGCAGGCTGCTGCATTTTCAGAAAGTTTTAAGACTGCGCTCCAAATAAGAGCGTCATCCCTGGGCCTCAAGGTTCCCTCTCCTCCCGTGCCTTCTGCCTCTGAAAGGTCTGCCAGTCGCATCACCTGCCCTGCTTTGTAACATTGCTCATGGAGGGCAGCGTCTCAATTCTACCTCTGTCGGAACAAGAGAAATATTTTGCACTCCTACAGGACTTGCCACCCGAGGAGTGAAGCCTGTCACAAACATTAAAGGATTGAGAGAATAATATGGATATAAGGAATAGCCAACATGGATTTGTCAAGAACAAATCATGACAAACCAACCTAACGTCCCTCTTTGACAGAGTTACTGGCCAAGTACAGTAGATGGCAGAAAGCTTTAGATGGGATGTATCCAGATTTTACTTAGGGGTTTGACAAAGTGCCACATGAAATTCTCATTAGCAAACTAGAGAAATGTGGTCTAGATGAAACAATTGTCAGGGAAGTACACAATTGGTTGAAAGACCACACTCAAAAAGCAGATCAACTGTTCGCTGTCAAACTGGGAGAAGGAACCAAAGTGGGGCTCTACAGGGGTCAGAATTAGGTCCAGTACCATTCAATATTTTCATTAATGCCTTAAATAACAGAGCGGAGAGTACACTTACAAAAATTTACAGATGACAGCAAGCTGGGATTTCTCCCATTGACAATCCAGGCCTAAGTGACTTAGATTCAAAGAAGATTAGGTTTGGAAGAGACCTCAGGAGGTCATCTAGTCCAACTCCCTGCTCAAAGCAGGACCAAGCCCAACTAAATCATCCTTGACTTGGCCAAAGTGTCACAGAGACTGCGTGGAGGAGTCAGGAACTGACACCAGATCTCCTGAATCCCAGCCCAGTACTGTAACTCCCTCCTCTCCAGGATAAAACATATCACACCAGGGCTCCACCTCCCTACTGCCGCTCTCCCGCCTCACCACAAAATATCCTCCAATTTACTTTATATTCAGTCTAAACTCAAAATGTTGCAGGGTGAAGGCGAGTGCACAGCACATGTGCTGGTCACTGTTTTTGTCTCTCCATCTGTTATAGCAGGCACAAATGTCTGATCCAAAATCTTGGGAATAAATGGATGCTCCTGTTTCTTTTGAATAGGGCAGGTAACTGGTACTCCAAGATATCGCTGAGGGAAAGGGTGTAGAGAGCTGGGACTAGTGGGGGCCGAAAAAGCCAACTCTAATGGTACAAGGCAGGACTTGTCCATCTAGTTTGAGTCTGAATCCTAGCTCAGATACCAGGGCTCACGCTTTCCCTACATGACACAGGAAACAGCAGAGGGAGCAAGAGAGGAATGAGACAAAATTGCACAGAAAATTGAGCTGCAGGAAGGAATCTTTAGGGCCTGAATCGCCTTTGGGTCCAGCCCTGAGCCCGTGTAAAGACCAGCACTGAACATAACAAAATAAAGATCACTCCCAGAGGCAGCCTGTCATGCTGGAAGCTGGCGAATGCCATTCGGCTCGTCCTAGCACCAGGCTGCGCCAGAGGAAGGATGCAGCCAAAATAATACATCAGGAAGGGAACACAGCACGAGTAGGACTTTGAAATAACATCCCTCCCTGCCCTGCTGAGCTGGGAGGGAGTTTAGGAGCAGCTGATCACTGTATCCTGCGTGATGCAAGGAGGAGCAGAGCTGGATCGCCTTTCTCCACGGGGGGGTGGGGGGGAGGCTGCCCAGTCTAATAAGGAAGCAGCCCCCAATGCTGAGGGTCTCTTCCCCCACCCTGTACTAACCAGTGCGGCGAGAGATGGGGAACCCCTTATCGCCACCCTGAGCCCGGGCAGGATAAACTGGTGAACGCCCCCCTTGGTCCGGAGAGATGCCACCCCCCCGTGCGCCCCCTTTAGTCTAGAGGAATGGGGCTTCCAATGCACCCTCTTGGCCTGGAGAGATGGGAACCCCCCATGCGCCCCTTTTGATCTAGACGGATGGGACCCCCTCCCCATGCGCCTCCTTGAGCCGGAGAGATGGGGGACCCCCCCTCGTGCACCTCCTTTAGTCTAGAGGGATGGGGCTCCAATGCACCCTCTTGGCCTGCAGAGATGGGGTACCCATGGACCCCCTGGATCCAAAGAGACGGGGATCCCCATGCGCCTCCTTTGGTCAAGAGGGATGGGGACCCCCCCCGTGTGCCCCCTTGGGTCTAGAGGGATGGGGCCTCCCCGTGGGCCCCTTTTGATCTAGACAGATGGGACCCCCTCCCCGTGCGCCTCCTTGAGCCGGAGAGATGGGGGACCCCGCGAGCCCTCTTTAGTCTAGAGGACTAGGGCTTCCAATGCATCTCCTGGGTCCGGAGAGAGGGGGACCCCCCGTGCGCCCTCTTTAGTCTAGAGGAATGGGGCTTCCAATGCACCCTCTTGGCCCGGAGAGAGGGGCCCCCCGTGCGCCCCCTGGGCCCGGAGAGAGGGGGCCCCCGTGTCCCCCTTAGTCTAGAGGAATGGGGCTTGCAATGCACCCTCTTGGCCCGGAGAGAGGGGGGCCCCCCGTGCGCCCCCTGGGCCCGGAGAGAGGGGGCCCCGTGCGCCCCCTGGGCCCGGAGAGAGGGGGGCCCCCGGGCGCGCCTGGCGAGGTTACCTGCCCAGAGCGCCAGGCCTCCGCCGGGACCCCGCCGGTCCCTCCGCCCCTGGAAGCGAACAGCGTCTCTCGGCCACAGGAACCACAGAGCGCCGCGCAGGAGGCTCCGGCAGCCGGCGGCAGCCGGGGAGGATCTCGGCTTAGAGTCGCCTGCTGGCGCGGAGGACGGACGGCAGCACGGGGCCAGCGGAGCAGAAAGTTGCCGGGGAGAAGAGAACAAACTCCCCCCCCAGACCCCTACGTACGGGGGATGGGGGGGGGGGGGGATTTGTTTATTTATTTATTTTGGCGCGGGTGGGGCAAGAAACACAACCCCCCCCCCCTCTGCCCTCCCCGCAGTCTCTCCCAGCGCACAGGAGAAGAGGCTGTGACTTACAGTGGCATGTTGTGTATTACAGTATTAGCACCCCGAAAGACACCCCCCAGCCGAATCAGGGCCTTGCCGTGCTTGGCCATGGAGAAGGACATCCCCAGGCACAAATAGAGGTAGGGAAAGAGAACTACTTAACCCACTCCACCCTGTGTGCTGATCCAGAGCATGGGGAAGGAGGGACCACTAACTGGCTGCATTACTGACTCACTGGAGGGGCAACTGTGCATCAGCTCAGACAGCTGATGTTTGCCAGATGCTGGGAATGGGCGACAGGGGATGGATCACTTGGTGATTCCCTGCTCTGTTCATTGCCTCTGGGGCACCTGGCCTAGGCCGCTGTTGGAAGACAGGATAGTGGGCTGGATGGACCTTTGGTCTGACCCAGTATGTCCGTTCTGGTAGTTCAGTCCCATTAAATCAATATACAGCCACTGTTCCTTACGTAAAGATTGAGGCAAGAGGGGGGAAAAGAGCCATACACCCTAAGCACAACTTCACATGCCCAGATCTGGGGCAGCAAAGCATAACCCCCTTTCTCAACCTTCCTTCCCACAGAGATCCATCCAGTGGTTATAAAACCTAGAGCTTTGCTTTGATTGGAAAGTCTTGTGGCAGGGACTCCTTTTCTCCTTGATGTGTGAACAGAACCTAGCCCCACAGGGCGTGTTGACACTGTCCCTGGGATCCTGGGCCACAGATTCAGTGTTTCCAAGCCCACGTCTATACTGCATCGTAAACTTAGGCTTAGAGCGGCTGGACCTGGAACTCACAGCCTTGCAAACAAGTCCCTACGGCCCTCGACAGATCTGCTGCTGTAGTTCTGCAGCTTTAACTGCATCCACGCTGCAAAATAAGAGGGCTTGGACCTACATCACAGCAGGACTCAGGGTCGGATACCCTCCCCCCCTCCTTCCTCAACCTGGGTCCTGGGGGCTTGCTGACCTGAATCAGCCTGATCTGTGTGTGGTGAAAGGAAGACTTGGGCTCAAACTCATATCAGATCCCAGACCTAGTGTGCAGTGTAGACGTACCCTTTAGAGCCCTGAACACGGAGGGGAGGGGGCAGTAGATGCTACTACAATACATGTAAATTATGTAGATCATCTGCCTCTTCAGGGGATGCGACAATGAAGGCTGCTGTACTAAAGGGCCTTCTTGTGTTCGCTAGTGAAAATGGTGAGCGTTTTGATGGTTTTTTTTTAAACCACACCGAAGCACTCAGTGGCCTCTGCTCATCCAACCCAGGCTCATCACTGCACCCACAAAATCCTCCTCAGGGTAGGGTGTATGTTTCTCAGATTCACACAGGAGAGAGAGATGAAAGCAGTCCCCCACATCTGCAACAAGAGAAACATTTATCAAGCTTTACCTAATGAGACATTTAAGCCTGGCCGGGTGTGGTTTGTGCTGTAGAGCATGGCTCAGTTCCCATATGCACTGTGCCGTGCATTATGTATCACTCAAACTTGGCTTTCTGGTAGATCAGGTATAGGCTCCTATTATTTCAAGCAGCTCATAGTTTAGGGGTGATGAAACTAAACCTCTCCTGTAAGGGAACAACCCTACTTTTCCCACACAGCTTTTTCCCCATTTCTACATGCCTGAGCCTTTGCTGAGGTAGGCCAGGCTTGTAGAGACCCCAGGCTCAAATCCTGTTTGAGAAACCGGCAGAGTCATGACATTTGATCTACTGCTGCCAGTACCATAGATTGCAAGAATCAGTGTTGACAGCCACAGCCTAGGAAGTCGGAGGTAGTGCATTGCTTTGAAGGACTCAGGGAGGAACAACCAGCACTGTGACTGGCAGTAATACAGCAGTGTTAAGGGCCCAACTGAGATCAGGGCCCCCCATCAACCCAGGTGCTGTAGATAAAGTCTTATTAGACAGGACAGACACAGGAAATTTTATACCTACACCTGGGAGAATTCAATTTTTGATTTTTTAAAATAATTTCAACACATTTATTTTTAAGCATCAATTTACATTTTCAGTTGTACAAAGTGATGATTAAGTTTATGTTTATCAAATTTTCACAGTTGCAGGAAATTAGGAGGGACCAGACCATTTTTTAATAGTCGATAGTGAGATTCAACGAGTGACCACTTTACAACAGTTAAAACATAAATGGTCAATATCACATCAAAACATACAAAGTAAACATCCTTAAATTAAGCTCTGAAAAGTTCTCAAGCAGCATCTCTCTTACTTTGCCGATCTATAAATTGATTATTATGGATGGAAATGTCAGTTTTGGTGTGGTCAGTGAAATTGAAATTTACCAATAAAAATCTAGCTCTTCCAGGTCTAATTATACCCATTTTATAGATGGGGAAACCCAGGTACAGAGAACAAGTGACTTGCCCCAGTGTCCCAGGGGAAAGTATGGGGCAGAGCCAGGATTTGAACCCAGATCTCTGGAGTCCCAGGACAGTCATTTCATCTGTAGGCTATCCTTCAACCTACATTTTTTCCTTTTTCCATTCCAGTTAGTACGAGGGGCGTAACGTGCACAGTAATAGAACGCTAGATTTGTTAGGCTGCATGACTTACAAATCTCAAAGATATTTCTTGTCAAACAGTGAGTTGTGTAATTTGAGGGGAACCCCAGTAGCTCCCCTCAAATTACAAGCCGAGTTAGTTGAAGATTTCTGGGCACTTCCTTTTGATAAAAAGCCTGTAGTTTTATCTGCCAACTATCCCATCGTTCCGGGGACCTGCTTGTTTTTATTAAGGATCAAATCATCCAAAACAATAGCAGATTTAACAGTGATTTCTAACTCAGATCCATCAGCTGTCTCAAGTTTGGGAAGGGGATGGTGCATAAAGAGACTTCATCTTCTTACACCTGGAAGAGAAGATGGAGAACTATAAAGGGCTGCTAGCACTGGGAGACTGGGACATAAAGGCCTCTCACATAGTCCCTCTTTTTAATGTTAATTGAGTGTCCCTGCCGAAGCATTTTACCAGCTGCTTACTATATAAAGGTTTTCCTAAAAAACACAGCCACCTCTGGGTTGGACGTCAGCAGTGGACGACAGGGTACAGTCAGAACAAGAAGGGAATTTTAGACAAGGTCATTTTAGAAGACCTCTGTTTTAGGCAAAGAGCCATAGGACCTTTCCTGCCCAGCAAGAGCGGACACTACCTTGGTTTACAAGGGTCTCATCTAAGATTCCCCCTAAAACCTATACACATACTGCACAGTACTTGCTATCAGAACCATATTGGCCCTTCTGAGAAGTGAGTCTAGGTGTCCCAAAGCTGATTGTAAGAGGACTACCTTCTCTGTCCTTTGGGCAAGCAAAAACAGGCTGGATGCTTTCTAGTTTTATAACCACCTGTTTGGTCTCTTCCACCAGGTCATCAGTACAGCCTTGTGCAGCGACATACAAGTGGACACTTTAGCCCACTCTCTGGAGTCTTTGACACAAAGGTTTCCTTGCCTGAGATCCTGATCCCTTCGACCCACCTACCTTTTCCTCTTGCACTTCCTTCTTCTCCTTGAGCTATTCAGAACCATCAATCCATCAGCTGGGAACAGCTAATCAGCCTCCTGCCTAATTAAGCCATTGAGCACCCATCTCCCAATCAAGTCCACAGCCGTGCAGGGGGGTGGGGGGAAGAGAGAGAGAAAAGCAAGTACCATAAGGGTCAGACTTCTGGGTCATCTCTTGGCTCCTAGCTCTGTCAAGCAGATGCTTTGGCCAACAGAACTGGACCCAAAAAGGTTCTGGAGTACAGCAGCTAGCAGGTGAAGGTAATGCATTTGCTTTAGGAGAGAGGTCAGCAAGCAAGCCACAACCATACTGGGTCCTACCATCCTGCGTTTAAAGAGAGACGGTGCACAGCAAATGTACGTTACAAAAGACTGTCACTTTATTAGAAATCTTATCAGCTTGGAGCATTAATAATCAAACTTGGGCAAGGAGTTCATGCCTCATGCTAGTCCCGTCACACAACCTTAGCATAGCCAAGGGCTCCAGCTGATTTGCATGTGTATTTCCATAAAGACTCCATTTGTATTGCCAGCCATAACGCATTCAGAATAAATTTAACCACCTTTGAGGCTGCATCGTCTCTCTTTTTCTTCCAATTCCCCTTCATTTTTCGACTTGCTCCTTGCAACTGCAGCTTCCTTTCCTGTCCCCACATGAGATTCTCTCCCCCCACTTACTCCCCTTCACTACCCCACCTCTCACACACTGTTGCATTCCTCATTCACCTGAGTGCACCACTTCCCCCACCCTCAACCCCAAGGCAGATAACAGTGCAAAGCCGGGCAGCAACAATAGGTTCCGAATAAGGGGGTGGGGAATAGAAGACCCTTGATCACCACGGGAGCCGTATTCCCCACTATAGTCATTCATCCCGTCTTCAAACTCCCACAGTAGCAGTGACACCATGGATTTGATAGAGCAGGGGGAAGGCTCACCCTTCCCAGCGTGATGAACTTTCAGAAGGGGTGGGGAATTCAACCTAGGTAGCCTGAGGCCAACCCATGGCCATTCGTTCCTCAGCTGTAACAGGAGAGGTTTTACAGCAGAGCTGAAACGTGAGCGGCTGTCTCCAGCACAATGCAATCGACACAGTAAAGCCAGAGGGATATCAAATGCAAGTGCAGGGAGATGAAAACACACGTGCCCCTGAGAACTGGTACCCATTGCGTCAGATCCAGGGCAACAAGGCCCGGGAAGGGGCACTGCATTGAAGCCTACACACCTGCGCACAGACATTGAACGGTCACGTCTGCAAAACAGTGTCTGGTTTTCATGTGACTTTAGCACTAACAAAAGCGTCTGGCTTCACACCTCTGGAGATGGTTCATATGCAGAGCAGGTATGGAATCGGGACAAGATTCTCCTCTATTATCCTTCCCCTGGAAGGATCCCTTTAGCAGCAGGGTGAGGGGTGGGCTTCGGTCTCCATAGCCCCTTCAGTCCATTGTCTTGCATTGCCAAGAATGCCAACAAGAACCACTCCATGGGAAGACCTCTCTAAAAAGAAGTGTGCTAAGCAGATGGGCCCAATTCTGATCCCACTTTTGCTAGTGAGACACCAGAGTAACTCCACTGAAGTTACAGTGCCACAAATAAGACCAGAACTGGGTTGTGTGAGAGTATAAATAGCAATAGCAGAGGCAGGACTAAGGGAGAAAGAGGCATTTCATTAGAAACAACCAGGCAAAGACATTGCCTCAGTTATTAGCCCAACTACAGTCCCATCCCTTCGAAAAACAACTTTTCTTCTAAAGATACCAAGCTTAACCACAATAAATACTTGGCATTTGTGTGGTGCCTCTCGTCCAAGTGTGCATTATGTTATTATGCAGCTTGGAAAAGCGAGGCAGAGAGCAAGCGACTTCACACAGCCAACAGAGCTGGGAAGATCAGACTCCCCACAGACCTACTATCTCCGAGAAGTAAGTTGGAGTTACAGAGTGTGCCTGGACTGTGCAGTTTGCCTGGAGCAGACTGAACAGCTCGAGTGGTAGCTAGCCTCCCTTTTGAGTCCGTAACAGTGCTGGAGAAGTTAGTACCTTCACACCCTTCTGTAGGATTCCCTTCCCCATCAGCATTTGCTAGACACCCACAGAACCATCTCATTCCGGCTCATCCAGGCCTAGCTCATGATAACCAGTGTTAAATGGTCCATTTCACATTATTGCCAGTGTTGAACGGTTCTCTCTCTCACAGGACTCAACTGTCCAGGCCAGGATTTCCAGCCCCTTAGTGCCAGGTTAGACACATTAGTCCATTCAGCACAAGGCTAATGAGATGTCAGATGCCCATTGGTTTTCAGGGGCACGTCCCCACTACTCGCACTCCTCCAGGCATGGTACTTTTTCAACACTTTTCTCCTAGCGAAGCTGCAGATTGCGATCATGAACCCCAGGGACACGATGTACATAGCCAGGCCTCCAGCCTTGATTAGCCATATGGGCCTGGATGAGACGATCACGGAATACATGATCTGGCCTCCCACCCCAATCCGCAGCACCATAAAGAGAGCCACAAAGGAGAAATCCACCACTTCCCCGACGAAGCTGTGGTAGCACCCAGTTTCCCGCAGGAACCAGCGGGCCTGCAGCAGCGGGTTGGTGATCTCGCTGACGAAGACAATGGCATTGATTTCGGTGGCTGACTTGCCGAGCCCCAGCACGAGCACCATGCCACAAATACTCAATGTGTGATGAGACAGCATGAGATCTCCTTCTGTCTTGAAGTACATGCACCAGCTGAGGTCAAAGATAAAGTAACCCAAGGTAAGGCACAGCACGCGGACCTGGAGAGGCGTGTTTGGCGTCCCTGAAAGGAAAGACATGCACATTAAACTGAGAAAGGATGCTCCTAAGGGCTCCATTCTAAGAGGAAAGCTACACAGTGGACACCTAGTAATACAGTTCACCAGACTATGAAAAACAATGGCTGCTCACTCAGTAGATCTGCTCTCTGGGTGTATGCAGAGTCCGAGGTGCCAACTTGAGTGCAGAAGACACCCTCCCCCAGTTTTACTACTTCTGAATTCCATTAGCACAGCAGAGCCTACACAGCTCAAAGAGAGCTGAAGTCGGCTCTGCCTCGTGCGTCGTTAGTAGAACTGTTAGTTTTGCAACTGGAGCGAGGGTATATTCTACCAATGGAACAGCATAGGTGTCACTGAAGGCAAAAATCTCCATGGCGATGCACAAGTCAGAAAGAACCCAGCTTGACTCTCAGATCTCAGGTTAAGTCTGCAGGCAGAGACAATGACCTTAAATAGGTAAAGCAAGACAAAACCAAGCGAAGGACCCAAACAAACCATCCTCTACATCTCGGGCTTGTTGGGTGGGAGGGATTTTGTCCAGCAAGAGCCCTCTCTCCCACACAGTCCTCTTCCCCCATTTCTGCGATCCGAAGTGTATACCCTTAAAACTCTATAGTGCTGCATGCACTAATGGTAGCAGATGCTTCTGGGTCAAATTGAGAAGGCAAAGCTTGAAGAGGGGGAATGAAGGAGTGTGGTAGCCCACAGGTTCCTTTAGGCCGCTTAGCAGCCCAGGATAGGCTCTTCTAATGGACTACCAGACAGAACTCTTGTAGTGCCATACGCTATGGACCCAACTCCTCCCATCCCTGGCACACCCTCCGTGCCAGAGTTTGTGAGGGGGCAACAGATGGCTGCTTATGACAGCCCTATACTATGTCTGTGCAGGGGAATTCATCCCTGGTGAGGTGAGGGATATGAATGGCCTCTAGAAGCAGGCTTGGAAAGATCAGATTTTTAATCCTTAAATGTCGATTTCACTGTACACACACACAAACCCATCAAAATATTTCCATCAATAGCAATTGAAATTTACAAATAAGGAAAGCAAGAAAAATGCTGTTTGAGAACTTGTTAGAGTCAAAATCCAGTGATTTAGGCTTCTGAATTAGGCTGGTTACAGATGGATAAGGGAATGAATAGTTCAATCAACAAATCATTTCTGGACGTAGGATATTTGTTTTTTATATCTTGACATGGGACATTGACACTTGGTGGGTTTTGCAGTAGTGTTGTAGTCACGTTGGTCCCAGGATATGACAGCCACAAGGGTGATGAGGGGATATCTTTTATTGCACCAACTTCTGGAGAAGAGCTCTGTGGAGCTCGAAAGCTTGGCTCTTTCACCAACAGGTCTGTGGGCCCATGAGCTCTGTGGAGCTCAGAAGCTCGGCTCGTTCACCAACCAAAGTTGGCCCGAAAAACGATATTACCTCACCCACCTTGTCTCTCAGTTTGTGTTTTCACAACTTTAAAGCTTGAACTCTTTGAATCTCAACTTCTACTGTCATTAAATAATTATCTGACCTCCCCACATAGTTTCCCACAACTGTGAACATTTAAATTTATAAAAATACAAAATAAAAAGCTTTAAAATGAACAATTGATATTATCCACCAAAGTTAAGAAACACTGAATTCTACCAAGCCTATTTATAAGCCACCAAAGCAGCAGGGTTGTGCGTGCGGGAGAGTCTATCACCACTAGAGAGATCTCTCAGTTTAGGGGCCTGATACTTGAAGTTACAGTCAGGCATTGTCCTCACACCAACAGCAGGAATCCCACTGACTTCCAGAGGACGAGCAAGACATGCAGGATATGGGATGAAGTCAGAGATGGGAGTAAAGAAAAGAGTTTCTTTATTCTGGATGAAGTCTAGAAATGTGCCCAGCACTTTGCCCAATAGCTTAGCCAAGGCCCTGCCCCAAGGAATTTCAGCATACTGTTAAGTACAACTGGGGGAAAACAGTAAAAAAAAAAAAAAAAGAAAAGAAAAGAAAGAAAGCCTGAGGGTGGGGATCGGCAGTCAGGGATTGAAAGAAAGGGAGATAGGTCTCAAGGAGGTCATATGAGCTTGGCCTACAGGCAGGCAAAGAAAACACGGCTCCAAGCGTAGATGGGAGCATGAAAGAGGGAGACCTGGTGTAGACATCAAGAGAGAGAACTAATCCTCCTGCACCGATCACAGGTGCAGTAGGACAGAGACACTGCCTTTTTTCAGTGAGAAGATCACTCGTCCCAGGGCAAAACTCCACCAAACATACCTGGGTGAGTTAGAGGCCAGGGGCCATCGATAAGAGCAACGTAGCCAGAGAGGCAGGTGACAATGACCCCATGCATCAGAGTGACCAGCCGGCAACTCCACTCGTAAGTACGGTGCTTATTCCAATAGCAGAAACAGGCATAAAGGGAGAGCCAGGCAGTCAGGCTGCAGGTCACCTGGAAAATGACGGAGAGCATCATCCTAGAATGGACAGAGAAAGAACGTTACTGGTGAAGTAATCCATCTAAAAAGATCCCCACCCCCAAAGTTAACACCGATCAGCGCCAGCTGCTACACCCAAGGACTCAGATGCAAAAGACACACAGAACCATCCTCAACCCTGTACTTTCGTCATCATACCAAACCTTTTTGCCCCCCACATAGGCACGTTTGCCAATCAGCTTCTCCACAGGCCTGTTCCGGTTACTGAAATTTGAAGAGGTTTCACAAACAGCCACTTCACCCATTTCAAGCTGGCAAAGAGAGGCACGGAGTGGGGGACACAAAATCCCCATCCCTGCTTGCATCACATCTTGACTGTGTTGCTGCCCCATTTTGGCATGGTGGAGCCAAGTGCTCAACACATGGCTGCAGGTCTATTTGAGAGACCATCACGTGTATGGGAATGGCGCCTGGAAGCCATTGTGCTAGGTTCTGCACCAACCCACAAAGATGGTCCCGGCCCCAAAGAGCTTACACTCCAAGACTGCTGCAGTTTCCACGGTATGCATCCGATGAAGTGAGCTGTAGCTCACGAAAGCTCATGCTCAAATAAATTGGTTAGTCTCTAAGGTGTCACAAGTACTCCTTTTCTTTTTGCGAATACAGACTAACACGGCTGTTACTCTGAAACTCCAAGACTAGAGACTACGGGTGCCTACCACTGACAGGGAGAGCACAAGGAAATTACTTTTTTTTTTTAAATTGATCCCATGAGACACACCTTATCTCATCAACAGGAGGCAAAGCCAGATCCTCTACATCCAATGCCTAGACCTCCACCACTTTGCTTTAAAGTCCATTAGCTGGCTGCTCTAGCAGAGCGGTATCCTCTGTGAATCAGCCAGCATGCTGCCTGAAAAGTAGCTGGGTGGGGGTGTGGGGATGGTTTGGAGAAGAAAGAAAAGGTTTGAGCGTGACAATGAGATAACTAGCACCTGCGCGATAGTACTCGAATATCGGCACAAGCCACGGAAAAGGCTTAGGTAAGCGGAAAGGTGTGTAGGGCGATGGGGGCACAAAGGGAGGAGAGGGGAAGTCGGTGCATGGCTGGGTGCAGATCTACGCTAGGGAGTAGATAGCTTAGGGGGAGAGGCAATTCTTCGGGCTTTCGCCCTCTAGAGCGAGCACACGGCCATCTGCTTAATCGGGCATTCAAAACTCCACAGCCACCATCCCTGGGACAGGGCACAGCGCAGTGAGGTGGATGCCACCCCCCTACCCACCACCGCCCCCATTCCACGTCCTGTTCGGGGCGGGGGGGAGTAAGGCACATGGGGGACCCGATCCAATATATGGCAGCAGCGTGCCCTAGTTAACTTATCAAGTGCCCGGGTGTGCCAGGAACCCAGCATAGCTTCTCCCCGCCCCCCACCCCCACCGGGGGACACAGGAGAGCTCTTGCCTAGGACAAGTGGGGGGCTCTGTGGGGGCAGCACTCCCTAGAGAGCCCCAGGAGGGTCTGAGCCCCCAGCAAGGACAGAGGGAGCAGGCGCTGGGAGCCCCAGCCCTCCGGGAGAGAGCAGGAGGCTCTTCCAGGCAGCCCCAGGCTGGAAGCGGCTCCCATCATAAACAGGCTTTACAGTTTGGTTTCATGTCCCTCGGCACCTCCCCTATACAGGCTGTCTGTGCGTCCCCGGCCCCAGGCACGGCCTCCGAGAGTTACCCGCCTGGTCCAGCTGCCCCGCTGCAGCTCCGGGCCGCCCTCTCCAGCGCTGCGCGTCCAGACGCCGCCGGCCTCCATAAGCCCCGCCGGGGCGCGCAGCTGGGCGGAAGGCGGCAGCAGGGGCGGAGCTGGTGCAGACGCAGGTTTTCCCCACTCGGGTCAGCTGCTGCTGGCAGGAAGGACCCAGCGGGGCAGCGAAGGGGGTAGGGAGAGGGGCGGTCCCCTCCCGCCCAGTAGGAATGGGGGCTCGGGGGATAGCTCTCCCAACAGCCGCACAGGGAGCGGATTAGTTACCCCCAAAGGGTGCCCAGATCTGGAGAGCGAGGGGCAAGACCGCGCCCCCCCACGTATGGATATTGGGGAGGGGAGAAGTACTAATCTCTACCCCCCTTCCCCATCATGTTCAGATCCAGGGGTGCAGGGCTTGGCAATCGGAGACACCCCCCCTTCACAGCTCAGAGGGGGAGCTCCCCTCCCTGCCCCCGCAGCTGCGATGGGATTACCAGCTAATACCCCTTTTGATCTGGCTTTATTTGGTGGCGTGTTTCTCCTTGCTGCCAGGGGCAGGGCTTTGGGGTGTGTCGTGTACCGGGCTACATATGGGGCAGGAACTGGGCTGGTGTCGGGAAAAGGAAAGTGAGGTTGCCCTTGTCCTCTGCCCCCCATCTCTCTGCAGCTCCCCCTATCTCAGTTTAGAAAAGGGGGGGGTGAAACACACTGCTCACGGGGTTCAGAAAAGGGGGGCATAGGAAGTGGAAGGAAAAGGAGGTGGGGAAGAAGAGACAGGGGGAAGAATGCAGGGAGGGAGGAGTGAGAATTTATCTGCTCCTGGTGGAGGGGTGGGATCTATTGTTATTTTAATATGTTCCAGGAGAAAAACAGATGTAATCACTAGTTTGGTCTGCCGGGGGAGGGCGGATGAACTGGGCCCATCAGCTGGACAGGCACTGGTTAGAGCTAGTCATTAATTTTGTTAACCTCCCTCACATTACTATTATCTGACTGGCTTTCATACTGACCTCGGCCTGGGTAGCTCACAGGCAATGTGAACAGATGCCTGGATCCATAAGTATTTTCCACAGCGTCCCTCCAGCTTTCATGAGGATGTGTTTGGGGGGCACAGCCTAAGTTCCCGAGGCCACTACTCTGATTCTTTTCCAGTGAGTTGTGGGAAATCTTGTCTGTCCTGGGTGCAGGGGAGGAAGCATGGGAAGGCTTTGGAGAATTAGCAACACTCAAGTGATTGAACCTGGGTCCTCACTGCCGCATGGGTAGGTTACAAGCCAGAGTGTGAACAGCACTCCGGCTTTGGCAGCCCCACCACGCTTGGGGAAGAGGTTTTGTGTGTGGACAGGAGGAGGCGAGGGGCAACAGGTGAGTAAGAGCCTGAGTTAACCCTGCAGTAAGGATAAGCCCTAAGTGACTTGCCCAAGATCATAGAGAAAGTCTGTGGCAGAGCAGTGAATTGAACCCCACAAGTCCCAGACAAATACCCTAATTCCGGGACCATCCTCCCCCTTCTCATCAGGACTTTTAAGGGATCCTGGTGTGAACTCAAGGGGGAATGCTTACTAGGGGAAAAGAAAACAAGGGAACTATCAATAAAGAAAACAAAATAACAGAACTTAAGCAAAGTTCCCACATCTATCGCAAGCCTGCTCAGCCATGGCAATGCTGAAAGAGGTGGGCTGCAGGAGGGGACCCTCTTATTAGTTATTAGGTAAACAGCTACCTGCTAGGAGCTGCTTGGGTCTTCATGGGGAGAGTCTGCAGCCTCACCCCTGGGGCTGTGCGAGTGAGACAAGTCCTCTAGGGTATGTCAATATACTCAGTCACAGGGAGTGAGTGCAGCTGGTGTACACCCACCTGAGCGTGCTTTAATCAAGTTAGCTTTGGTATGGGAGCAATGAAGCCATGAAGTTTTACTGCCTGAGGAATTCCCCAGGCTGTTGGCTGGGCTTGCACAGACTCGCTGCTCTGGTACCTGAGCTAACCGTGTAGACGTACCCTGAGACCAGAGATTCTCAAGACTTCTTCAAAGTTGGACAAGGGTCCTGGGCACCTTCCCTCCCTTTTGCAGTCACGTGAACATCCCCGTGGCCACCGCAGCAACTGCGTCGATGGGAAAGCAACGGTAGGCCATAAGAGTTTAAATGTAGTTTTTAGCTTCTTTTCATGCAACTTAGCAGCTGGAAGCAAGGAGAAGGGCCAGCAGTATGTGACAGGTAACTCCCTACAGAGCACCCAACAGAGCTCTGCAGACCACAGTTTGGGGACCTGTCTGAGGCAACAGCAGGATCAGGAGGAGAGCTTACTACAGAAAAACATTTCACACAAAGCAGCTCTGTGTTGACTGATGTACTGGGCTGCCCCATCTCAGTGGTCTTTTCCTCAGAGGGCTCTTTAAACAACAGCTGACTACACATGTGTGTTTAAGTTTGGAGTGGCAGCACACCCAGGCACTCCCAAACACAAGACTGATGGGGCTTACCCCGATGTCTTTGAAGCAGAGCCTCAGAGTACAGGAGATAGTTCACTCTTCCCCGCCTTCTGGGATTCAGGTTTCTGATGCATCCGTCCTGAGAGGTCGATGGACAATGAATCTTTCTCTCTTCTCTCCTTGGAGAGAGGTGCTGGGACAGAGGCTATTGCCAAGACCAGTTTCAGGCATATGGGTTTCTCCACTCAGCTAGTTCAGGAGATGGTTATCTGAGCTCTCCTAGCCTCTGCACCCTGAGCAGGTCTGTTTGTGGATGTTTGTCCTCTGCATTTTTTAAATGGTATTGTAGGTGGCGACAGTCAGGCTTGTCAAGCTGGAATTTCCTGCCCCATGCTCTGTAGTCTGGTTCCAGAATACCTAAAAGATCATCCAAAGACCCCAAAGGGCAAGTTTGTTCCTCTGGCACAATAGAAGTCTCAATAATAAGAGTAAAGCTTATCTGTGCGGTAGACGGACCCTTCCCCAAGGGTGGCCCGAGACAGTGGAATGACCTCTCCCAGGAATTAAGGACCACCCCATACCTTACCGCCCTTCATTCTACATGTAAGGTGCGTTTCTTTGACTTTGCCTTCTCCAGTATAAACACACAGGGGTATATTTATTCAATTAAAAAAAACAACAACCTACCAATACAAGACAGTCCACTGCACACACTTCTCCCTCTGGGGAGCGCATAAAAGCAAACAACACAGGACCAATGTGTACTAATGTTGCTTAACATACTACCAGAGGGTGCTCAGATACACTGCACTGATAACTCAAGACAGACCCTATAGAGAATGGAATAGAACCTGGACCTTGCTGACGGTGAGTGCTTAGAATTGTTCGTAGACAGCTTGGGAATAAAAACCTTTCTCCATAGGACTGCTTACTAAACAACAGGAAATGCGTGTTTTCCCCAGTCAGTTCCAAGGCACCTAAAAGATTCCCTTAGATAGTGTGTGTCCATAAACATAAATGACCAGTTTTATGCTGTGAGCTTTTCAGAGCAGAGACTGCATCTTACTATATGTATGTACAGCACCTAGCGCACTGGGGTCTTGACCTTAGTGAGGGCAGTAAACACTAGTATAAACAAATCATAGTATAGAAATACTATTAGCCAGCTCTCTATGAAGATTTTACTTCTGTCTGTACTTGAATGGTCATAGTATTAAATCGTGAACATAAAAACGGGGAACAAAATATTTGCATGTATTTCATTTTCATACAATACGTTTGTAAGTTTTCTCCTTAGCTCTCAGAGCCCACACTCCAAAATGTACTAATTGTTGGAACTTGGAACAGACTAAATTATTTAGAATAATTTTTGGAGGTGATATGTAAGCACTGCTTGTTAGTTTGGAGTCCGACATTGATCTTAGTTATAGCTGCGAAAACTCAGAGCAACTCACCTTAACTTCACTGTGAGGGTCATTAATCGTGGAAACAATTTACTTCGGGATATGATGGATTCCTTCAATGACTTATTTAAATCAAGAGTGAGTCTTTCAAAAAAAAATATGCCCTAGCTCGACTACAAGATATGGGCTTGATGCAGACATTATGGGGTGAAATCTGTGTCCTGTGTGATGCAGGAGATCAGACTAGATAACAATAAGGGCCCCTTCCGGCCTTAAAATATATGAATCTATAGATTTGTTCTAGATTTTCACAGATGTAAATGAGACTGAAAGCTGGTGCTTCGTTTAGGGTCTGTTCAAGAAGCTTGCTTTCTGTAATCCTAGCAGTTCCAAATATATGGGAAATTCATCAGGCTAAGGCTCAGCTCCTTAACCGGTGTAAATCAGCACACTCAATTGACTTCAACAGAGCGATGCTGATTGATCCCAGGTGAGGATCTGGCCCTACATTGAGAGAGTAGCTGACACAGGTTAGAACACTGAGAGTGGAATGTAGTAGTTTAAAGCGTTTTTTGTAAGGATGTTGTAGACTTGGAGACCTAAACTAGGTAAAGGGTCCTATATTCTGGAAATTCTACTGACTTCAGTGAAGTCACTCCAGATTTACAACTGTATAAATGAGAGCAGAATTTAGACTTCTCTAAATGGGGAAATTATCCAGAATAGCTCCCCCTTTTATTCCAGAATAAGAGTGGCCACATGGGGAGCTATTCTGGAGTAGCTATTGTGCTTTAAATTCACTTAATGTGCTTAATCGGAAATAACTTTCAGGTCATAGACAAGCCCTTAATTTCTCCTTTGCACACACAAACAATAGATAAATAGACACATATGCTGACTGCACACCATTTGAAAATGTCCTCTTTAAAATGTCTGAAGCTGGACACCAAAAATCGAGGTACTCAAACTCACGTGTCACTCTTGACAATCTTGGCCATGTTAAAAGAATTTTTTTCCCATATACCAAGGCAGTAGAAGTCCCATTGACTTCAATGGCACTAGGATTTGTCTGTCTTTATTATTATTTATATTACTATAGTGCCCTGGAGCCGTAGTCATAGACCAATACCCCATTGTGCTAGATGCTGTACAGACACAGAACAAAAACATATCTGCCCCAAGGACCTTACAATCCATCTTGTAGACTGTAAGTTCTCCAGGGCAGGGATTGTGTGGATTTCTGTGCTATAAAACGCTGAACATATTGTTGTTATTACAACTGAGGTTGGGGCTTCGTTGTGCTAGGGACTGTACATACACACAGTAAGGGA